ATAATAATAATAAAAACCTTATTATAAAATATGTTAGAGGTGTGCCGAAGATCGTAGAAATCTCCTCATAAAACTAAAATCACATGACACCACTCACCTCCAAACACTTTCGTGCAACGTAAACCCAACTACCTATGAAATTGTAAATAGTTACATAGATATTTCTTCCACCAAAAAATCTCTGCGATTTCTATATGCTAACGTAAGAAGTATAGTGAAACCAGGAAAATTGAATGAACTAAAATGCGTAGTTGATTCGTTTCAGAATAGGGTTCATATAATCATCCTGTCAGAGACATGGATAAAGTCAGACGAGGAAGCTATTAGTCTTCAGATTCCCATATTCACCATTTTAATCACAGGCGTAACAAGAGAGGTGGTGGAGTATCTATATTCATTTGCAATAGCCTAAAACACCACGTAACAGAAAATCAGTCCCAAGGTGACAATCACTACCTGTGGATTCATCTTGACCACTATTGTCTTGATATAGGTGCCGTATATCGGAAACCAGACGCCTCAAATTTAAAAACCTTCTTGGACTTTTATTCCAAGCAATTACATGAAAGAAGCAGAGCTGTTGTATTTGGGGACTTTAACATTAATTTACTGAGTCAACAACAGGCAACTAATAACTACAAGGAAGTGCTAGAGGAGAATGGTTACAATATAATAAATAAAATAGACGAAAAATACTGTACCCGTGAAACAGTTTCAACAAAATCAATAATAGACCATGTTTGCTCAAATCTTAAACGACAAAGATTTAATTTCATCATAATTGAAACCCTATGTCTGACCACAAGCAATATACTTTGAAATACAGAAATTCTGGCCTGAACCACTGCGAAAAGTTAGATATGAAGCTATTAACTACGAACAACTATGTAAAACCATGGTAACCTGCACAGATATTGGTAATAAATCATATGAACTATTTAAAGAGAAGCTAGATTCTTGCCTCAGTAATAGTAGATTCCCAAAAAAAAAAAATCTTAACCCACCTCGCCAAGACTGGATCAATAGGAAAATTTTAGATAGAATAAATAGTCGAAATATAATATGGAACAAATTTAAGAAGAATCCAAAAGACAAATTATTAGAAGAAGCATTCATCAAAGAAAGAAACGAAGTATCAAGAACCATTTATAAAACTAAAACTAAATATTATTCAAAAGCATTCAACGACTGCGAGGGCAGCCCTAAGAAGATGTGGAAACTAATAAAAGACCTTTCTAACAACAAAGTAAGAGACCCATCAGTACCGAGTAAACTTTTAATTGACTTAACTTTTGATCCGTTATTACTTACCCAATGGTTACATAACGGATCAAAATGCTATATGTGAACAATTTAATGACTTTTTTTCTAATGTAGGCTTGATCTTAAATAGTCAGATACTAGCAAATCCTTATAATAATTTAACGTATACAAATAAAGCAAACAATGCCAATTCAATCGCGCTAACACCGTTATAGCCATGTACAATGGAAGAAATTGCTAATTTTATAGATAGCTTAAGCACAAATACTAGCTCTGGATTAGATGGGGTTAATAGCAAATCAATAAAATGCTTGAAACACATCATCCTTCCTGAACTTACTAATTGCATAAATAATAATCTAGAAAATGGTACTTTCCCTGATAGTTTAAAGATCGCTAAAGTTACACCTATATTTAAATCTGGTACTAAATTGGAACCTGTCAATTACCACCCAATATCTGTTCTTCCTGTAATGTCAAAAATCTATGAAAAACTATTATATAAACGCCTTGAAACTTATCTCTCTGCACAAAACTTCTTTTACAAGCAGCAGTATGGTTTCAGACCGAAATCTAACACGCTGTCAGCTACAGTAGACCTCATAACTAAAGTGAAACTTAGTATTGATAAAAAACAAATAGCACTAGGAGTCTTCATAGACTTAAAGAAGGCTTTTAATACAATTAGTCACGACCTATTATTAAAAAATTATTTGATATTGGCATTACAGGAACCGCTCATGAGATACTTAGATCTTACCTCACAAATCGTCGGCAAGTGGTTAAGATCGGTGAAACACAGAGTGGACCCAGAGTTGTAACCTGTGGTATACCTCAGGGATCGATTCTGGGGCCTCTTTTGTTTCTTATATATATATAAATAATATAAAAGAACTCGTTATACGCCGATGATACCGCTCTATTCTACTTTGGCCATTCTAAAGACTCTGTTATTAAAGACGCACAAAATGACTTAGATGTTCTAAATACCTGGTTTCAACGCACTCGGCTTACTATAAATATATCAAAAACAAACTTTATAATATTTACAGCAAAAAACAAAAAAATATCACACTACACGCCATTGAAAATAAATAACCAAATTATTAATAAAGTTAATGAAGAGAAATATCTTGGACTGATATTAGACTCGCACTTAACATGGAAACCACATATTTCTAAAATTAAAACAAAATTAACTTCACTTTCTGGTGCCATACGGGGGTATGGTTTACCGGATTCGATATAATAATATAACTCTCTCATAAAACCGCATTTAGAATACTTGACTGAAGTTTAGGGTACTGCTGCGAAAACAAATCTAGAACCACTACAAAGGTCACAAAATAAACCAATTAAAATATTATTTAAATATGATTTCCTCACACCAACAAATCTACTGTATAAACAAACAAAATTATTAAATATTACTCAAACATATATATATATATATAAAACTTGTATATCAATAAGAAAAATATTAAATAAAGATCACAACAACAACAAATAACATTCACAAATAAACAGCAAATACAAAAAATTGGCGTGCAACCGACCTTTGCCTCTTAACCCCAAGAACTAATTATGGTAAAAAAAAACTTAATGTACGAAGGTGCGAAATTGTATAACAAATTAGCGAAAAATATCAAAGAAGCAAAATCAATCCCAACATTTAGAAAGCACTTAAAATATTATTTAACTTCTAACCTGAGCGTACCTTGATTTCACTATTTTACGCGTCGCTTCTAGCTACGCTCGGTCTGTGTAAGGTGCGCGTCCAAGCATTGTTTGCGCCTTGGCTACGTAAGTCTTTAAAAGTACCCTGTTTATTAGTATTTTATTTGTTCTAGAAATAAAAAATTGCTAAAAATATGTATAATTATAACTGAATGTGTTTGAGTGAAATTGATTCGTTATATTAGTGTACGCCTAGGATAAGACTATTATTTGTTTGTATGTGTTTTAAACTTTCTCATGTAAGTGAATTATTGTAAATTCTTATGAGAAATAAAGATATCTCAAACCTAAAGTAAATAACATAAGCACTGCTTTATAATTAGTTCAGTTAGTATGCAAAGTTTCATGATCCAATTTAAAGTATTTTATGAATAACAGCGCTTTATTGTTTAGTACCCGGATGACTGAGCTCTGCACGGTTTTTTTTAATTACATTTAGATACAAATTACATGAATAATATTTTTTGATCTTATTGACATAATAGTAAAAACTGAACTGGTTATTTGAATAAAAAATCATGAGTGCAATTAGTTTAGTAAAAATTTTCGTATTTTTAAAAAATACTAAAAAAAGGGCTTGAAATAATAGATTTTCTCACAAAAGAAGGGAACTTGAAAAAAAGGAAAAAAAGTCGGACCGAAGCGGGACGCGAACCAAGGCTTTCGCGGATTTCGCGACCGCTCGACATCCACTTGAGCTATTACGATCGTTGACACAATGTCCAAATTTACCTTCTTATATTATAGCAGTTTTTCATTGCCTGAAAACACGGACAAAAAACATTTTCTGAAAATAAATCCTAGCTATATCGATTTATTGCCCCCGAAACTCCCTGGACACAAAATTTTATGAAAATCGTTGGAGCCGTTTCCGAGATTCCGATTATATATATACATATATTGTGGTGGCTCTGGTTTTGGAGGTAACTTTGGATTTTTTTTCTATCGAGAAAATTTTACGAAATCGTGTTTTCGTCTAACATAATCCTTAACATTAATCCTCAACTTTACCATATATTTATTACAAAATTAATGCTGCAATATTTTCGGCATAACGAAAGATCTTGCTAAGCCATTTGAGATTATATTTCCCCTTAAATGGTCCGATATAAAGAGGATCAAATTTGTTTACAAATTGTTCATTCTTAAGAAGTATCATATCACCGACACTATATTTGATTGGATTTGTATAGTATCATACTTTGTTTTCCTACTTTGTTTGCTTAAAATTAAATTGTTTCTTGCATCATATTGCGATTTTTGAAGTCTAATATCTAAGTTGTTGTGGATAATCAAAGGGGTTATATAAAGGGTCTATATCTAAACAACACGACGAACGGAAAAGCTTCCCAAAAACAAGTCATAGTTTTTAGTGGTGCTATTGTAAACACGTATTCAAAGTATCTCTGTCGATTTTATTTATAAAAGTGGTGCAAAAGTTATTTATCTTGTTTAAACTGTATACAAAAATATCTATTATACTAGATCCAGTGATTATGCGAAATATATTATCTAAAACATTTAAACTACAAGTGTAATATCCAAAAATATCGTTAAACAAGTGCTTATAATATTTTTATCAAAGTGCTAAGTCGGGTACTTGTGAACTCGTCGGTCGGTCGCGGTTATTGTCTACCATCGGTGTATCTATAACTACTTGTTAACTGGCTAAGTGAGGATAGCGGCCGTAAATTTCAAACTTTATGGCAGATAAGCGATTGGTGTAGTGGTGTTATCGTCGGGCTCAAATAATTAACAAACCAACGATGAAATTCAGGGCTCTACTTTGAGAACAATATTTTTTTCTTCTCTTTTTCATATATTTATAATTTAGAAGTTTTTTAAAATTTTTGTATTTTAGATTTTTTTTGTAATGTCAAAAAAATCATGAATGATTATTGCGTAGCATGCGGTAGTTCACCACCATCACCTAGTAAAAGAGTGAAAACTAAATGTGCCTACTGTAAACAAGACTCACATTCAATGTGTGAACATAAAAGTTGAAAGGAAAAGGAAAAGGAAAGGATCTCAGCAGAGTTGAAATAGCGTCATGGAAATGTTCCACCTGTATAAATGTTACTACTCGCCGCAAAGGGGACAACTCTAACACCCCAGTATCCGCACGTCGTCCTGCGCCGCTCGATAACTCCTTGACGATAGACGAAACAACGCATGCCAATACATCTGGCTCTAGTATTCGTATTCAGGAACCTGTACCTACCTCTAGTAACCTTACACTTAACAACACAGCCGAACTTCTTGACTCAAAGTTGAAGACTTTCAGGGAATCTGTCTTCTCTGATATGAAATCGTTCATCAAAAGTGAAATAAACGCAGCTATTGAAAAAACAAAACAAGAATTCACTGAAACGAGAGATTTTTTGCACTCAGAAAATAAAGATATAAAAGCTTCCCTATCAGTTATCGAAACTCACATCAGCGAACTAGAGAAACAAAACTGCTATTTTCTGAAAAATATCACGTCTTTGCAAAATCGTTTGGTGCCTATGGAAAAAGTTTCGCGGAGCTGCAATGTTGAAATACAAGCTGTCCCTGAAAAGCGTAATGAAAACGTACTTGCAATAGTGAAATTTTATTTTTTAAAACAATTATAAAACCGTGAACTTACAAATCAATGATGATGAAATCAGCGCTTGTCGTAGAGTTGCTAAGTTACCATCTACTTCTGCAAGTCGTCCACGCAATATTCTAGTGAGCTTTCCATCTACGCGCTACAGAGACAATTTAATTTCAGCGGTGAAACGTTTTAACAAAGCCAATCCTAAGGATCGGATAAGTTCAGTGCATCTTGGTGTTGCTGGTGAAAGAGCCTTGATATATAATAGTGAGCACCTGACACCTGAGTGCAAGGAACTCCACTCAGCTACTAGAATAACATTACGGGGCAAACATAAGTATATATGGGTCAAATATGGCAATGTATACATCAGAAAAGATAATACGTCATCGGTTATACACGTAAAAAATAAGGATTTCCTATTAAAGTTGTCATCCTAAGTTAATTCTACATATTATAATTTTAAGCATATATTCTGTTTTCCCTTTATTTTTCGTGTTAAGTTACTATCAGAATGTAAACTGCATGCGCTCTAAAACTTCCGAGTTTTATTTAGAATTATTAAATAACGACTATGATATAATAATATTATATCATAGTCGTTATTTAATATTCATTCACGTTTAATATTCATTCACACACGTTCATCACTTAGTTTCGGATAAACATATTATGTTTATCCGAAACTAACTGATGAACGTTAACGTTTATCGTAGAGATAGATGTTATTGCGTGTACACCAATCAAAAATGTGAGGGAGGAGGTGTCATTCTTGCTGTAAAAAAATGTTTTAATGTCGTGCGTCGCGGAACCTGGGACAGTGACTATGAGGATCTTTGGATATCTATACTCCCTAATGATAATTATGCGATGGCGATAAACCTCTGTATTTGTTACTTGCCTCCTTACTTACATCTTGATGATTTTGAAAGATTTATGCGTCATGTTCAAAGTGTGGTTTTAAATAATGATGAACTTGGGTCTTTCTGTATCGTAGGCGATTTTAATATCCCACACATTGACTGGAATAAGTTTTAGATTACTACTCCTTGGGGTTAAGTAGAAAAGCTTACTCTTTGCTTAATATGATGGCTCTATGTAGCTTTAAACAGTTTAATTTCTTAACAAAAGCAATGACCGAACGTTTGTCTTAATTTTGGCAAATTTCGATGATGTGCATGTGACTGCAGCACTACCGATAATCAAACCTGATAGACATCGCCCTTGCTTGAACATATCTATTGGACACCAGCAAGCATATAAACCCATCAGGCATAACCCAGTCAGTTTAAAACCAAATTTCTATAAATGTAACTTTACAAAGATAAAAAATCATTTAGTTAATACAAATTGGCAACATCTTTTAGCTGAGGAAAATGTAGATGATTCAATTGAAATATTTTATCAAGAATTAAATAAAGCTACTTTTCTTTATACACCTTTGCAGAAAAGTCCATTACATAAATATCCATACTGGTACAGTCCTGCTTTGATTTGTTGCATTAAAAAGAAACTGAAATTTCATAAATTGTATAAAAAATTTGGGAACCCAAGAGATTACGATATCTTTAATTTATTGAGGAAAAGAAGTAAAAAATTAATAGAAGAGTGTTATAAGAACTTACTACGGAATGCGGAAAGTGACCTAAACGGTAATATGAAACATTCTGGAAATTTGTCAAAAGAAAAAGAGCAAGTCGAAATATACCTGAATCCATGACTTATGGATCTCACACCGCAAACAAGCCGAAGGACATCTGCGAACTCTTTTCCTCATATTTTTCATCTGTATATGACAAACCGGATAGCAATAAATTTGCATCGTTTACCTTTCCACCAAAATATCATCTTACTTTATCTGATATACGTATCTCGACTGAGTTAGTGTGTCTAAGCTGTCGTAAATTGGATGCTTCGAAGGCTCCTGGGCCGGATGGAATTCCTGCTATATTTGTAAAGACATGTGCAGAAGAGCTTAGTTTGGCATTGTCTATTATTTTCAATAAATCACTAAGTACGGGTACTTTCCCGAAAATTTAATATATTCTCAAAGGTTTTCGAAACATCAATATATTCTCACATATACAGTCACGTTAAGCAGAAAATTTCATGTATGCAACATGGCTTCGTATCTGATCGGTCTACGATAAGCAATTTGCTCATTTATAGAAATCACATCAGTACTTCTATTGGTAATCATCATCAGGTGGACTCAATTTATACAGATTTCTCTAAGGCATTTGACAAAATTAGAAGCTTATGGCATTCATGGCAATTTACTTCGTTGGGTAAGATCGTACATATCCAGGAGGAGTCAAATTGTTGCGGTCAGAGGTTATAACTCTGCTCCAGCAGCGGTGACTTCTGGTGTTCCCCAAGGATCCCATTTAAGGCCATTATTTTCATTATTTTTATAAATGATTTGGTTGACACAATTCGGAGTTACTGTTTACTTTATGCCGATGATATGAAGATATACCGGGTCATAAGTGACGTGAATGACTGCATTGCATTACAAAAAGACATGGATGCAGGTTACGATTGGCGTTCTGATAATCTTATGTCCTTAAATATCAGTAAGTGCTTAGTTATCACTTTCATTACTAAACACAATTACCTGTTTTTTAAATACAATATCAGTAGTCAGCCTCTAACACGCAAGGAGATTGTTAAGGATTTGGGCGTATATTTCGATTCAAAATTTTCGTTTCGTCCACATTATGAGTTCATAATGCAAAAAAGTTTCAAAACCTTAGGGTTTATAATTCGTGTAACAAAAAATTTCTCCAAACCTCTCGCATCATTTCAATTATTTTATACTTTAGTTCGTTCTGTACTGGAGTATGCTTCCACTGTATGGTCACCCAAGGTACATTCTGACAGTATCGCGAGGGTGCAGAGTTGTTTCCTTCGCAGTGTTTGCGGTAGATATGGTCACTTGCGTCGTCTACCATCATACGACTCTCGACTAAAGTTTTTTAATGTCCAGCGATTGTCTTTGAGGAGACAATTTGCCGAGCAAGATTTTTTGCACAAGATTGTGCATTCTCGTATAGAGTGCCCAGAGTTACTAAGGCTAATTAACTTCAATTCCGGTATGCGACAACGTGTTCAAAGAATTTTCAAGTTAGACGTACACAAGAATAACACTTCCTTTTTCAACCCTGTTGTTAAAATGTGCCGTGATTACGACGAGATTAAGCATAGTAACATACATCTAGATATATTCGATAGTAGCCTGGTTAGATTTAAAAGAAATTTACGTGTTTCTCTTAACATTTAATGAATTTGTTATCTGTTATATTTTTGCTAAGTCTGAGATTATACCGTAGTTATATTATTATGCTGTGAACACTTTTTGGATTGTAGTTTAGATCAACACAAATACACTTTTAATTTTAGACCTTTATTTAACTACTGTCTCTTTGTGTACCTTATTCAATAAAATAAAATAAAATAAAACAAGCTCATTGGAGTATACTTGGTTTCCGTGTGCACAGTGTTATTATAACCAAAACACCAATACGGTAACCAAGTGCTCCAGTTATGTGGTTCATTATCTATTTGAATTCTGAGAAATGACATCAGATTTTTGTGACTGTTTTTTAAGGAACCTGTATATTGGTGATGATATGCTGTTGATGTTACCTGTTGAATTTTGAGAATATGGCACACATCTATCGTGACGATTGAAACAAATTCTGTCCCTTGGTCAAATATTATTTGTCGAGGAATACCATATCTCAAAATAAAATTATTGATAAAAGCCGTTGCTACTGAAATAGTATCCTTATGTTTAAGCGGATAGGCTTCAACATACTAATTTAAATCACATTGTAGTGTGAGTATATAAACATTACTATTACTATCTTTACATAAGGGCCCTACTAAATCTAAATAAACTCTATCAAAAGCAGAATATTCCGTATCGGTTATAACCATTGGTTATTTTATATGCTTATTTAAGTGCTTATGTCGCAAACACTTGTCACATCGGTTTATATAATTAGTCACATCCTTCTCTAACCCGGTCCAAAAGAATCTTTTCTTTATATTGTTTATCATTCGCCTTATACCGGCGTGACCGTTAATTGGCAATAAATGATAGTCGTTTAATATATACATTCGTATAATATAATATATAAATATACGTTTTGTCTCATGATCGTCGACTTTATGGACACCATTTAAAATTAATATTCGCGGTCCGGACCTATTTGGTGTCTCATTTATAATACGAGTTAACTCCTTAATTAATATATTGTTATTATTATTTTGTATAATATACAGACGATCTATCTTTCGCTTATTACAAAAGCAATCCAACTCCCTTACAAAGGCATCTCGTGCACAATATAATCGGAAAGAAGGATTTACATAAATTGTTGACTTTGGTGAGACAAAACAAAATAACTTAGAATTAGAATAGAACTTTTTTCACTCTGTCTATCTTTTTCCATTCTTTTTCGTCTACAAATAATAATTCAGTGCAATCCTTCGGTTGTTTAAGTGTTCCCACGACTTTTGGGTGATCAGTCCAATCGTTGGTTATTTTTCCAATGTCGGTAACATAATCCGCCGTAGGGTTGTCACGCTTATCTTGCGCAAATTATTTATTCACTTTCTTTGCGCTCTTGTTAGAACAGATATGACCTTTTCATTCATTTCTTTCAAATCTTCGCTCGAGATTTGGAAGCGTGACAAAGCATCTGCAGCTGCATTGACAGCTCCCCTTACATACTTGATAACAAACTTATACTCCTCAAGCAATAATCTAAACTTCGTAAGTCTACTTGACGGATTTGTCATATTGAATAAATATACGAGAGGCTTATGATCCGTTTCAATAATGAATTCGCGTCCATACAAATAAGTTCAAAAGTACTTTACTGCCCATACTATTGATAGTAATTCCTTTTCGATAGTAGGATAATTTTTCTCGGCTTTGTTTAATGTGCGCCTAGCATTTGCAACCGGTCGTCCGTCATGATTACATAAAACGGAGCTTATAGCAAAACCAGACGCGTCAGTTTTTAA